CTGAGCTCTGGTCTTGTACATGAAAATGAAAGAGAATAGAGGATCTGATATGGAAGGATAAAAGAAACTGGCAACATGAAAGAACAGTGAGATAAGGAGTGCATGTGTGTCCGGCAGTGCCCTGCGGATGGCACATATCAGATGTAGGTCAGCTGCCCAGAGATGGAGGGAGTTTGATGATGTGAGGCACAAAAATGAGAATAACCACAGCTGTGCAAAATGTGCAAGACAGTGGAATAACTTTTCCCACCTCACTGTAGATAAAAATATCAGTGGTGTCAGCGTCTGTGTGCTTTTGCTTGTGCATGTGGCCCGTGTATCCCAGTGCATATATGTGTATACTTGCACTCACTTGGGTGTAGCTGGGTAAAGTAATCACTTGGCCAAGCAAGCTGATTCACACTGGAGATACACAGGGCCCAGTTGCCGTGGCAACCTTCTTTAACTCTTCCCACATCTTTGCATGGCATATATTTGCATCAGATCGCTATCTTAATGCAGACACATGGCACGAGCAGAACAGTTTTTCCACACTGAGGTAAATATGTAATTAAAGCCCAGTGCTCAGTTATGAAGATGGGGCTCACACGTAAATCAGCCAGTACTATGTTTTGCTTTAATAATGCATCATCTAAACTAGAGGTTCAATAGCTCCAGTAGGCCAACTGTGAATGTGTCATCACCACAGAATCCTCCCTTTATTTGAGCGCTTGTGGGTGTGGGCGCTAAACCTGTTTTGCAAGAAACAAAGAGGAGATGTGGAAGGGTGGGGTAAAAGGAAAGGTAGACTGTGAGTGACAGAGCCATATGTTTGCTGCTGATTGTTGAGACAAGTCTGGGCAAAGGCCTACTTTAGAAATTTTAATATAAATACAACTCTCTGCTGTGTGTGTCCTACCTACTGAGGAGCATTTTCATTAGGACCTGCAGCCAGACGTGTCAGTATAGAGAAGTGAGATCCTGATCAGTGGGTTGCCAGTTTGATTCGTTTTGCAGAACTGGTAACGAACCAATCTTCAGCTTTTCATTATTTTCTGTTGAGTGCCGTTGAACATGTGCTGGATGCTCAGGTGGAGTAATAGTAACAGGCTATTGTTCCACTGTGAAAATCTGAGGAGTCAACGTCAGAAGCTACGTTTGCATAAAGCACACAAATATCAGAGGTGGTGCTTGGTTTCAAATCAGAAGTGTTTCTAACATTAGACATTGGTGACTTAATTGACTAATAAATAATGACTTAAAAATATCTTTATATAACAGGTCTGTGTGGGTGTGGTTTGGTTATGTTTGATTGATGAAGGTGACATCACCATCCCTTCATCTGAGTGCCATCCAGTTATTCATGTCAGACAGAGCCTCTTAATTGACAAAATAAGTTGTTAGTGTGTTTTACTCAGAAAATCCAAATTTAATTGCTATGCTGTGTTCAGGTTTTTACAAATCTGAACTTTTGACATAAACATGATTTGCATTTTTGGTCAGGTTTCAGTTTTCACATTATTCTTCCTCTATATGCTAAAGTGAGATTTCATTTGTAATGTTTCACATTCAGTGCTGTCCTGAGCCTCTAAAGCAGAACTTGTTGATGATCTCAAATGTTCATTTTCAGCAGTGTAACTCTGTGTAAAGCAAAACAAGGACACTACAAGAATATATTTTTGAGCTGTGAGGAGTATGAGTTAAGGGAATGAATATATCAGTGAGATAAATCTATACTTTATGACCTGTGATTGAACTCTTACTATTTATTCTGTGGGCTTTATCAAACTCAGGAGTTGTACAGTGTATAGTATGAAAAATGAAGCTGATACGGAGAAACGGAGAGTGAGGAAGAAACAAATGTGCAGGAGTGGTGACAGAATCTGAGAAAATAAAACAAACAAGGAAAGATATGTAGAAGAGACTGAGATAGGAAATGGATGTGATGTAGATTTGCGTGGAGGAGGATGACTAGGCTGTGACAGGAGGGAACAGTGTTTGTACTTTATCTGGCACACTGGCCTAATGACGTAGCAAAGCTCACAGCTCCAGATTACAGTGTCATGACTGTAAGGAGGGGGCGAGATGGATTAATGGTGCCTTCAGAGACAGGGCAAGCAGGGAGATTAACTGAATAAGGGAAGCGGGAGTGAGGGATTGCAAGAGCCTGAAATAATCTCAGGAAACTGACTGGCACAGCCTGAGCCATGTGCACATGTGCATGTTTGTGTTTTTGCGGATGTGATGCACAGATTAGTACAAATTAGAAAATTAAAATATTGTGATAGATGTGCTTTAAATGACCCCTGCTCACATATAAATGCATGTGAATACTTTACAGCAGCTAGACTGGAATATGAGGCGTTAATGCCGCTAAGGCAGAGAGATTTGCCACAGGGGCCTCACAACTGAAACCACGTGTAGCCAATCAGTTACAGCCGGTCGCTCATCTATGAAAAGATGCTTTGATGTTAGCAAGGCCTTTAAATTCAACCCTGGGGAGTCACGGGGGTCTGATCTGAGTCAGGAGAAACCCTATGCCGTTTCTAACAACAAGACCTTCTGCACAGCAACAAAATGTTTTCTTGCCTGACGTTTCAGACTGCAACAAGTGCAGATTTATGAGCGGGTGAGGAAATCTGAAAAGCAGAGCTGCACTGTACTTTACACAAGCACAGCTTACTGTATCTGAGTAGTACATTTCGATTATGTAAAATGTCTGTACAACTGGTCAAGCAATGCTATTAAATTGTTGTAGCTCCCATCCCTCACATAGCTTATGCACACTAATCAAAGAGGTGTGTTTTGCAGAGTATTTTACCTCAGAGAGCCTCAAATAATCCTGGCAAGTATCAACAGCAAAGATACAGTATCATTAAGTGCCTCTGCAGAGAGATCGCTCCAGTCCATCACTGGCTCCATAGGATGATCACTTTAAATGCCTATGTTGCTTTGGCAACACTTTTCTGTACTTGAGAAGACTCACAGCAAAGTGGACAGCGGATATATCACCTCCTTATGTCTGTTGCAACTGTGCTTGTTGTGACACAGTCTGTGATCTAAATATCCATTCATTTATGTATAATTTCTGCTAGCCTCCCCCATCTGCTCCCTCATCCTGTTATGCTGCTGCTGGCAGCCTTCCAAAATCCCCTGGCTTCTTCCAGCTCTAAGCTCTTCTTCTTCCTCGACTCCTCTTTCACCTCTTACTTTGTCATCAGGCAACAAAATGTCTGCCATGTATGAAGCCATGCTGAAACCCTCCCCCTCCCTCTCTCCTTCCTCTGCTGTCTGATGGAGCTGCACAGCGGTTACATAAGAGTTAAGGTCAAAGTGTCACTGTCTGCATCAAGGGAGACATAGAATAGAGGGGCTTTAGACAAAATGTGCATGGAAGAGAAAGAGTAGATAGCAAAGTCTGAGAGGAAGAATGTGCCGGAAAAAAAGGATTTGAACATGTGTGCATTAATAATAACATCAAGCTTGTAGATAACATTTCACATGGGATGACACAAAGGAGAGTCTAAAATTAAAAAAGATAATTGTTTACCTATAGAGAACAAGGAAGAAGCAGAGGGAAAAGACTTGGAGAGGAAAAAACTAAAGAATATAAGCACCTGTGTGTTAGTTTGTGTGTGGGTGAATGTGTGTGTGTGTGTGAGAGAGAGACTGAAAAAATCTGTGAACTGTAGGTGATCTGTTGACTGCTCCACTAACCTAGTTTGTGTAATCTCTGCCTTCATGCTGTTTCATAACACTGCTGCCAGAACACTGCATCATAAGGCCGCCTGCTACATCACCCACCACCTCATCAGTACCCACAGTCACACACTATCTTAAGCACACATATACGTCAGAATCATAGACTGCACCCACGGACAATGAGCTGTAAATTGGCTTTAAAAAGTAAAAGCAAGAGATGGCACATTTGGTGCATTTGCTGCAAAACAATAGGCCTTACAGTGTTGACACTGACAAATAAGTGATAATAAATGAGATGCAAATGGTATGGCAGTTTTTACCATGTTATGTTGCAGGTCTAGTACAGAAATGTGAACATAAAACAGGAACCAGGCTGCTGTGATTCAAACCTTGTGAGGTCACTGGGTGTAAACCCTGGAGCTGTCCCACTGAGAATAAATTGAAAGATGGTGAGCAATCTTTGGGAAGGCATCCAGGGATATTTTCCAGCCTGCTCTTTCTAGTACAGAAGCTCATTTGTGTGCACAAGCTCAAATAAATATTTTACACAAAGTCACAGCAGCCGCCCCATATTGTATATTTATTGCCATCAAATTTAAATAAGCTCCCCACCTCCCATTATTTTTTTCATGAATAGCACTAGGACTATCAAAGGTGTCACAGTCTAAACTGAGAGACCAATACACAGTTTTGAATGGAAAGGGTGTGAGGGACAGGTTTTAATTGATTAATCTGCTGATTACTGATCATGTCAGAAGATAGCTGAAATTGCAGGTGGGAATTTAAAAAAAAGTCAATTAAATGTCATGTTTTGTATGTTAAAAAGTCAAGAACCAAAAGCTATTTAATTTACTACCATTAAACCAAGATTAATGATATTGTGGTTGCTTTTGCTCAACACAAACGATCATTGATTAAACAGCAATCACTTCTAAATTGTGCTGCTGTTTCTTACTGTAACATTTTTGTAAGGCAATCACTTTATTAAAGCTTAATTTTTCACATAAGCCAAATGTTTATATGGAGTCAAACAAGTCAACATTGCTGAGGCAAATGCAATAAATACTTCGTGAATAAGACGTCACCTTACTCGTAAACAAAGAATGCGTGAAGTAGCTTCTTGCTGTTTGTTTTTAACTTCAGAAACACCTAATTAGACAAGAATCTGTATGACACTGATTTCTAGACCACACTCCGCCACTGTTACTGTAATTGTTGTAAATTATATGAAGTCATGCAGGGAAGTGGAAGAAACATCCATTCATGTCTGTTTTAAAGCAGAACTGATTATGGGTTTAATTAACAATCAATCATTTGTCCAGCCACCTTAAACTCGCTACCGACTGCGCGCCCCCGCGACTGCTGCGAAAGGAGCTGTGAGCAGTGAGATCATGCGAGAGACCATGCTTGGAGAAAGTAGGTTAGCAGGGTAGACTGAGAGGAAAGCGGGCGGAGAGGGGGTCCGAACACCGCTCGTCCACCGTGGGACTATTCTGTCAAAAAGAAAAGAAAAGTTGAGCCACATTTATTCGACACTGCGCCGAGACGGTGACGATGCAACCCAAAACCACCTTCTTCGCTCAGTTGTTTCGCTCAGAATTGACGGAGCGATAAAGGAGAGGAGTTTCGGAGAGTTTCTCCCCTCGTTTTTGGCCGAGAGCTTTCTACAGCCAGGACGAAGTTAATATTTACAGAGCCAGTTTACTCTGGCTCCAGCGCTTTATTCCCTCCTATCCTGTCACCTACGGAAACCACATGTAGTCGAGTTTTCATCGTCCTGTCTAGAAAAGGAAAACATCGAAATGAGAGGTAAGTTGATTTTTTTTAAATGTCATAATACATTTGTGCATGTTTTATCTGCGCTTGGTGAAGATCACGGTGTGGTTTTGGACGAGCCACATGTGTGCGCACAAGGAGTCGAATGCGCTTGTTTTGCTCCCAGTGCGCATTAATCCCTCATGACTGGATTACAGCTGCGCACAGCCCTGGGCTGCGCGCTCCGCGATGAACTTCAACATGCATAAAGAACTGGATGCATGGCGGCTGATCACGAGGATTAATCCAAATCTGCTTTTATTATCAAGTCTATTCACAGTGAAATCAATTGTTCACACGCGTAATTGTGTTTTATAACTCATTGCAATTCATCTGTTTTTGAAGACACATGAGTCATATGTCACCTGGCCACCTGGGAGGCCTTCAATACATTTCGTCAGGGGATCCATGTTAGAGTTATGCAATAAGGAGGAGGGGGGGGTTGGAGGAGGAGGCTGTTAACCAAAACTAGAATTATGTAATCTAGATGTTATTCCACCATATCAGGATCAGGTGAATATAATGCTTTATCACCCATTTGCTTAAACCGGTCACAGTCCAGCTCTTCTTCCGCACACTTTTCTGTCAATAAAGACTTTCTAGCTCTTACCGAGTCCTGGTCTGCATTTTGGGTCCTAGCCAAGTGAGCATCACAACAAAACCAATATTAATGTAACCATGTTCTAGTATCTATTAGTAAATAATGATCCAATGTTGTTCTAGATGTTATGTATCAACATAAAAATAAGTAGAGAATATATATATCCTTGCAAACTTTTTTTTTTTTTTACTTGTCGGCTGCCAGTGAATGACTTTACAAGATGAATCTGAGCAGTGCTGCTGTGTTTGTGATGTTATGATGTGATGGCTCTGTTAGTGTTCAGAGGACCTGGCTGTTCTACTGACCCAGTTATATCATCCAACATTATAAAGCATTCACAGCAGAGGGAGGTGAAGCAGCTGTGGGAAGCACCGTGCACGGTTACTGACTGGCAGTGACAGTCAGCCTAGGAAGTGTGGCTCATAGGGTGAACTTCACACTGGTAGCAGATGACCTACTGGTTAATACGGTGTTTAAATTATTATTACTTATTAAAATTGGCCTCAAACATAATGTAGGCAAAATGTAAATATATTGGTTTATAGTTTGGAAGGATGTTTTCACCTGTCACATACAGTTGCTGCTGTAAACTCTGTAACCTGTGTCATGTTTATTTTGCTCTGACCAAGGCCAGCATTACAATCGCTTGTGCATGAGTTTAGGTGCAATGGGGAGTTTTGTTTTATTGCTGGGGAGGAATGAAAATCATTTTGGCACTAAAAAAGGGGAGGGAGGAAGGAGCGAAGAGGGGCTTTGGAGGGAGGTTCCCTTTCTGGCAGGATATCCAAATGTAAACAAACCACAGCCCCTTTCTTAGCTCCCCACACTGAAAACGTTCTGACATTTCCTCACTGGAGAAGCATGTCAGCATTTTTGTCCCTGTTTGAATATACATACACGGTTGTAGTCACAATAATTTTAGTCCAAAGTGTTGAGTCATTCGAATAGCTTCTGCACACTGACAGACTAAGAATCCTGTTGTGATGTCTTTCTTTTCCTGGTTTGGCACTTGTATTAATATTTATTATGTAAAAAAACAATAAAAGATCACGAGGCCCATGTCACACACTCACTAGCGCTAGAAAAGGCCAGTTCTTAGCTCTGTTCTAATCCCCTCTCTGAGCCTGACCTCGGTCTCCATTGGTATTAGCATCTTTTAAAATAGAGCCAGTTGATTTGAATACACCAGTAGCTGGACAGCCAGATAATAAATAAACAAACAAACAAACAAACAAACAAATAAATATGCATTTAGTCTCAACACCATTAAATAAAGGCTGTGAAAACAAACAAGGTTTTGTTTTGTTTCTGAGACTATACAGACTATACATCTGCCTTTCTCATCCCTAGAAACAAAACGTGTTCTGCAGACAGAAAATAATCTGGCAAACATTCCCATATTCCAACATAAGTTCTAAAGACCAAGAGGCCACGAGGACAACCAGAGGGTACTGTTGTGATACAGCTCTGTGCTGAACTGTAAGCCAACACCCAGCTGTGAGGCAATGGCACAAGAAGTGCGTTAGAATTGTTAATATGTATAGAGCTCAGGCGCAAGGCCCCACACCTCCTACTGTGTGCATGTCCTCATGTTGTCAGTCATTTTTATGAGTAAGTCATAAAAATATTAAAAGACACCAGCTTCCACTGAGTCTTGTCAGTCTGCTGCTGCACCTAATACACAAACACACACAACCCTACTTAAAATTATAAAATGGAGAAATACTGCATGTGTATGTGACATTGTGTTACATTTGCAAAGTCATCTTTTTCTTATTGTCTCACTACTGGAACACTGATGTAGTGACTGGAACACACTGGTCAGAAGGCTCCCATTGGTGAATTATTGGCTTCTTCTTCTACATTAGATATCAAGAAGTGAACTGCTGGAAACACGAAGTTGGTGATTTTGCTTCTGCGTGCCCCACCCCTTTTGTAGAGATAACAAGGTTCCACATTTAGTTGGCTGATAAACACACTGGGGCCCGTGTATTTGTAGCCGAACTGTTCAAGTGTTTGTTCCCTGTGTATTTTGTGAAAAGACTTGGGTGTGCCACGCAAAGTAGCTGTCCTACTGTTCAAACACAATCCATTCTCAAACACCATTCACTGTTTGTGTGATTTCACCTTGTTTGGTGCATTAATGCAAGCATTTTGTGGCGTACTCTGTCAGTAGGTGATGAATGTAAAGTGCTGCCTCAGCCTTCATACATCATGTTCGTAAAGTACTGATGTTCTTGGAATGCTAGCTCTCTCTAGAGAATTACAGGTCAAATGCCTCAGATGCAGGCCAACAGTGATGTTCAGGGTCAAAGGCATATGGTGCTTTAACATTAGCATGTTGTCAAATCTGTCAAGCAAGCTTCTTTTTATTGTTTTTTTTAAATCTCATAACAGTGGTGGTTATAACAATTATTCAATGCACAGAAATTGAATTAAAAACAATTTTGATAATTGTTAAAGTCACTTTTCAGGCAAAAATCCAAAGTATATTCTGGTTCCATCTTTGCAAATGGTGGTTTTCTTAGTCCTGCATGATAGCAAACATTTTGGTTTTAGACAGTTGTCCAAAGTAATCTGATCTGAATGAAATGTTTGTTTTGTTAGAGCAAGTAGTTAATCAATGAATCGACTAAAGTATTATGGTAGTGTTTTGCCTCCACTGGTTCAGTAACACATCCCAGGCATCTGTGCTGAGAGAAGCGTCAGAGAAGAGGTGTGAGAATGTATGTGTGGTGGGTGGCTGGGTATTCAGCACAGGACGAGAATAGAACAGGTTGAGGCAGATGCTCAATGTCAAAGACTGGGGAGAGGGTGGGGACTGAATATCTGACATTCAAGTTCATAGTTTGTCTGGATTGAGTGGACTATAGCCAGATACGTTCTACTTCATATAGGTTTTGCCCTGTAAGAGCTGTTGCTGTTGGGTTTATCTCCTCATGCATGCGCAATCGTGAAGAGACTTCTTTTGCACCCTGTGCCCAACAAGTGGCCTGACTCCACTCAGGTCCACTCTGACTGCATGACCTGAGCTCTGTTCCCTCTTTTTCTTCAGTACTTTATGTGCAGTCTAAAGAGAGACCAACCAAAATGAGCACCGACCACCAGTGTCACCATCTGCCCAGGCTGCAATACGGGCTTCATTATGCCCAGTGATCTTCACCCCCACTGTGAAGCCTTCCTCAGCCCCAAACATGCCGAGCTGGCCATCTCCCCTTGGGCCACCTGCCCTTTCTGTGCTTGCCTGCCTGAGGTGGAGAAGCAGCACCATGTGGCTGTGTTTGCTGCCAGCGGACAGGGGATTTTCCGATGGATGACTCCCTGGAGTTCCTCAACGTAACTGACAAGGAAAGGCACAGATCCTCTGGCTATAGGTTCCTTCCATTGCTGGCTCTCCCGTTGACCTGCTGGTTGAAGTGAAGGCCAGTGGAGAGGAGGCGCCCCCGGTGCACTAGCAGGCATCGATTGCCGGCTAACCTCCAGCCTTCAGGGCTCTGCTCCGTGACCTTCCAGACATCATCAGGAAGGTGGTGGATCGCAAAGGGATTCTCCTCCCACCAGAAGCGCCAGCCCCTCCTCCATCTGACAGGGTGGGTGACATCTACCGGACAGAACAGCAGAGCAAGCGTACACCTGCCTGGCCTGAATTGCCTTCCATCTGACCCTATTTCTCAGAGGCAGCAGAGCATCCTGGAAGCCTGAAGGCACCAGTCGCACACTTTGACCCCCTTAGGAGGGTGCAGAGAGTGACAGAGCATGGAGATGGGCCAGTGCAGGGCACAGGGCACGGAATAAGTCTCTTCAGGATTGCGCATGCGTGAGGGATAAACCCAATAGTGACAGCTCTAAGAGGGCTATGCCTATACCCAGAGAAGCTTGGGTTACGATATGTAACCATCGGTATGGGCTGTGAGTCACATTTGTCATCATTAAAACAGCACTGTGTTTAATTATTGCGTAGATGGCACCCCATACACAAATATACTCATGAAATCAGTGAAGATCTGTGTTGCATATTAACTAGGCTGGTTAGTGTAGTTTGCCTAGGCTTGTAATCATTGCCTTGCTTGGTTAATTCTGTTATGTAACATTTTCTATTGCAACAAGCCTGCAGGGAAATGTTTGATAGGAAAGTCTGAGCATTGTTCAGCTCCACCTTAAAAGTGGCCAGCAGAGAGCTTTGATCACGCCTGCCTCCCTCCTCCCTCTCCCCCTGCAGTGGGAAAGTGTGTCAGTAGGACAGAACATCCACATGGGCTGACAGGCTACAGCGTCCCAGTGACAGATGACTCAGCCAGTAGCAAGGAGGCTGCAAATACTGCTCAGCCAGTGGGAAAGGGCGAGTGCGAGGAAGGCGGGATGTCAGTGTTGCTACAGTGAGCCCGCTGAATGAGTGTTGTGAGGAATGCTCACAGACCAGAGTTATATAATCAAGAGATGAGGGAGGGGTGGAGGGGAACCTGAGAGGAAGGGAGGGGGAGGAGGGACATATTTTTCCATTGCATGCCTGCAGCTGCCCTGATCAGTTGGAGTATTTTAGTCAACAGTTTTACAGAAGAGACAGCCAACTCTGTCATTAAAGGAAGAAAAGAAGTGGAAAGTTGTTTTGTTGTTTTTCCAGAACCAGAAGAGTGCAACAGTCTCTCCTCAATCACATAATCCTAAGAGGTTTTCCATACATCGCGCCCACACCAGTGGTACAAAATGAACATCAGTCTAAGACTGCGCAGACAGCAAGGCTGAACAATAACTGTGTTACAATATAGTTGATGGTGGTGTTGTTTCTCGCTCACAAAAGTAGGAGTGTTTGTGCAAGTGTCACGCAGTGCTCTTTCTGTTTGTGTATTCTGTTCCCTCATGGTGGCCACATGCAGCGTGCAGACAAACATGATGGCAAGTTAACTTCTCTTTTACTGTGTGTGTGTGTGTGTATATTGTGAGACAGTTTGTCTACACAGCTATTGCTGTTACTAAAAAAAGATAAAATATGTGATTACACTGATGCTATGTTGTTGTATCACTCACAGGACTTGTTACACAACTCACAGGATTTGACTTGCGCAGTCATTTGTTTCAGTTTATAAACTTCGTTAACAATGTCCGAATAGCAATAATAATAAAATATGATTTATATAGTGCGTTTCAATTAAATGTTTTATCAAACAATACAGCAGTGTTTAGAGGTCTTAAGAATCACAAAAGAGAAAAATGAAAAAATACAAAAAGACACCCCTGGTAATGAGGTCTGTTTTACTCGAGTACTGACCCCAGGATCACACACTGCACTTACATTCAAAGGGAAATGGCATAAAATACAGCTAAGTATCCAAAGCCCTGCAGCTGTATTTTGTATCGGCTAGAGGCAGGAGATGGCCTTCTTCTTGAGCCCAGAACACACAGAGTTGCAGCAGTTTGACTGTGACCAGATAAAAGCATGGGTCTGCTGAAGATAAACATAAAACAGTAAGAAAGGCACAAGACCAGACAAAAGTGAGCTGATTTGATAATTTAATAATGATTCAATACTTTTATTAGTAGCAGTGTTTTCAGGAAGATTCTCATCCCCACATCCAGCAGTTTTAGCACCATGCAGTGCACAGATGTTTGGCTGGAGCTTCTCAAAAATGTTTTCCATAAAGAAGATCTTAGGTAAAACCAGTAGTTCTGCTGGCTCTTATTACAGCGAATGAGGTCTCAGATATATGCCAAATATGGGCTTCTGTGAAAGTATGTCTTATTTTTTAATGAATTTATGATGTTATTTATAGTTGTGTCTGGTTTTGGCATCAGACTCAGTAAAATCTACCGCACTTCTCCGAGGAGTCTCTAATCTTTCAGGCTTTCTGACTCTCTAATCTAAAGTGCTGTATTTTATGTAAATTTGAGACACGTTAGGCAGCAGCTTTCTGACCTGTCTCATCACTGTTTGTTTTTTGGTCCTGCAGCTCAGATTGAGGTCATCCCTTGTAAAATCTGTGGGGACAAGTCCTCAGGAATCCACTATGGAGTCATTACCTGCGAAGGCTGCAAGGTGAGGAGGAAGCATAGAGCCAAAGACTTTAGCCAACCTGTTTAAATTAGGTATGTGTGTGTCATTTACAGTATGTGTTTGTGTGTGTCTAGGGTTTCTTCCGTCGCAGCCAGCAGAACAATGCTATGTACTCTTGTTCCCGCCAGAGGAACTGCCTGATCGACCGAACTAACCGTAACCGCTGCCAGCACTGCCGCCTGCAGAAGTGTTTGGCTTTGGGCATGAGCAGAGACGGTAAACATGCAAAGAATTCACTGTACTCTCTTTTTGTTATTCAGTGGTAAAAAAAAAAAAAATTACCACAGCTCAGTTTAGTGAAACTGAGACGTTCACTTACATAAGGGGGGGTTTAGCAGATGTGTTGTTCCAGTGCAGCCTGGTACCTTTAACAAGGAGAATTTAAAGCTCCTGGTGGTGATGTTCCACATCAGCTGTGGTAGCAAGGCTCTGGTAGCATATGGTTCCTTCTTCTCTAGGCTGCAGACAGAAAACAAACACAGTATGAAGACTTAAGAGGCCATGAAGTGTCACCATCCATCCATTCATCCATTATTCCTGAACAGGACCGCAGGGGGCTGGAGCCTATCCCAGCTGACATTGGGCAACAAAAGGCGGCATACACACTGGACAGGTCGCCAGTTTATAACAGGGCTTGAAGTGTCACCATGTATACCCAGGTATAGGGACTGCAACATACAGTGCTTATAGATAAGGTGGTAGAAGGAAACTATGTGAGCCAGATGTTTCTTACAGTTAGAATGAGGTTACAGATGTGAAATTGTTAGTTTGGCCACAGAAAAATTGCAGCTGCTCTGTAAAAATATAAATGTATAAACGCAGTATTTAATTTATTGTAATTATTCACGGTTATATCACAGTTACCTGTCTGCATGTTTACAACTGTATTAATGTGTAATTTTCTCTCTGCAGCTGTGAAGTTTGGCCGTATGTCCAAAAAGCAGCGAGACAGCCTCTACGCTGAGGTCCAAAAGCACCAGAAGTCTCAGGAGTGTGTGGGCTCTGGAGGCGGGAGCTCTACTGCTCTGTCCTTACCCAGTGATGACGGCATCTATAGCGGTGGCGGGGAGGATGGTGAAGAAGGTCTGAGCCGGTCCTACAGCAGCAGGGGCTCCAGCTCCACCCTCAGCGACCTGGATGACATCGCAGCACTGCCTGACCTGTTCGACCTGCCGCTGACCCCCAAGGAGGCCAGCGAGTACTGCAGCCTGGAGCTGATCGGTGGAGGTGGAGGGGCCAGCACCGGGAACACCTCCAACTTGTCGTCCTCTTCTTCATTTTCCTCGTCCTTATCCAATCAGAACTCCCCGCAGCAGACTATACTGGATGGGGCAGAGAGCAATGGGATCCAGCTCCCGCACACACATTCACTGTTGGGACACACACACGTCCTGCTGGACCATCTGCCTGATGACTGCTCAATAACAGACCTCGGTGAATACTAACAATGATGTATCAGAAATCTTTCTGTTTTATTCACACATTTCCTAAACAGAGTGTCACAGAGCATATTAGAATACCCTAAATTCTTATATAGTGGCCTGGGACCTTGAGCAACTGAGGAGAGAACCAAGGCTTCACTTGATATGGGATATTATGAGAGACAGGTTCTGTATTTATTTGTCATATTGTTCTCATTTCAAACTTAACACCACTTTAAACTGGTGCAGTTTAAAACCGGCTTAGCAGATCAGGAAGTATGAATGTTCTTATTGTGAAACGTTTGCTGGAAGTATTGAATTTCAGTAACACCAGTTTACATTAAGAAAGCAAGGCAAAGTAGTATAGATCATAATAAATAAAGCAATAACTATCTGTATGTATCTCATAAAAAGGTTAGCAAAGAATAAGGATGAAAATGATATGCAGCAGACAGAACAATAGGACAAGGACAAGATTAGATGTGCAGGAATCAAGAAATGGGAAACAGGAACAAGATATACAGCAGTATAAGCTCATCTCCAGAAACAGAGATAGATAAAGAGATAATGGTGTAATGGTATTTATAGAGGCAAAGAAGCAAATGCATTTTTATAGATGGTGCCTCTAAAGACCTTGAGGAAGAATACATTTGTATTTATTTTACAGCTTTATAGTTGCTGGCAACAACAAATTACAGTGAATAGGGCTCTGGGGACTTGTAAAGGAAGCAGTGAGTAAATATTGTGATTGCTGGATATAATAAGTGCAGGAGGTGGAAAAGATCTGAAAAGCTGTTGAAATAAAAAAAGAGCAGATGAACAGAGTGGTGCAGAGCATCTACCTGTTCAAGGTCACACTGTTACGATCTTTGGATATGTAAAGTGTTACAGTATGTAGCACTGTTACACTGTGCTACACTCAAACCCACTAACACCACAAATAATCCAAGTGACACCACATTAAAGTACATGCCTTATGTGCTTATTTTGTTTCACAGAGCACCTCACTCAGAGTGTTGTGAAGTCTCACTTGGAGACGTGTCAGTACAGTGCTGAAGACATGAAGAGATTCACCTGGGTACAATACACACCTGAGGAGACACGTGCTTTCCAGAATAAGGTAAATAGCAAACACCACAGGTGTCAAGTCTTCTGTTGTCACTTATATTTATAGCATTGCACTTAGAAACGTATCAGAAACTCACTGGCTCTGATCAATTTATCAGTACTTAGTTCAATAAGAAACTAACTTGATTAGCTTGTTTTGGTGACTTGGCGAGAAGGCAGATGATAGAATTGTAACTGTAACTTCTACAAAGTAAATAAACCAAAATATTTTTATCTCTTTGGTTAGTGCAGTTATTGAATCTGCCTCAGCTTCTGAATCGGCTGCTTCATAAAACCTAGATAGCAAATTAATTCAGCCAGTTATTGTGGATGACTTTAGCTGTGACTTAATGGTTCTGGGTTTCATGAAAGCAGTGACACATAGGTTACCATGATGGTGTAGTCTGTGGAGCTAGCCTGCTCCAGACCAGGCTAACAGACAGGCTCGATTGATCCTGGTCACTTTATCAGAAACCAGTGTATTTCTATGCCTCCGCACCAGCAATAGTCATGGCCAGAAGCGTTATGTTCTTGGATTGTCAGTTCATACATCCGTACGTCTGTAGATTTTGGTGGTCAAAGGTCAGGGTCTGTGTCCTCACATCTACACCTGTGAATTTGAATGGCTGGGACATACAACTGTGAAGCAGTAATTCTAGCTGTGAGCTACTGTTACTGATTACTGTTCACATTGTTGTTAGAAGTTTGATGAATATATTATTGTAGCTGGTGAGGTGATTAGAAACGGCTGATAAAGTTACAAAGGTGTTTTCAATGAAGTCGGTGATAAAGGTAACAAAGTCCTATATGCATGTGTTTGTTCCTTTTTCAGAAATATATCGGTCATTCTACAAAAATGGTGAAAGTCACTTCCTTTTGCAGACACCAAAAGCCTTTAAGTTGACATGATAATCACATTAATTATATATTGAAGCACTGTGGCAGAGAGACACTTTGCAGGGCCCCCCAGAATGCCCAAGGGAAGAAGCACCTGGCAGGATTTCCCACAGTGCCTCTGGGCGGGCTGTATATAGTTGTGGGTTTGGTGAGGACTGAGTGTGTTAGATGTGTTCTGTTGTTGCTGTGTGTTCCCCAGCTGTGTGTGTAATAAAATAACGGCTTGACAGAGTGCAGAAAAGAAACTGTTCTCCAACTCCTTCAACCCAGCCAACGTTGCAGTATGTTCAGTGAATAAAGCCTGTCCTTGCATTGAGTTTATTTATCTAATATTCAATGTTTATTTTTAGCAGTGTATTTAAAATTCCATGTTCAAGGACTTGTCTTGTCATTTTAATCATAAGCCTACATGGAAGTGGAGCCATATGCTTTTCATTTAAACTTTTTTTTTTTCTTCCATAAATTCACCTGGGCAGCATAGTGAAGCAGTGGTTAGCACTGTTGCCTCACTGAAAGAGCCTTACAGGTTTGAGCCCAGGCCACTTGGGGCCTTTCTGTGCAGACTTAGCATGTTCTTCCTGTGCCTCTGTGGATTCTCTCCTGGTACTCCGGCTTGCTCATGCAGCTTAGGTTGACTCTAAATTGCCCATAGGAGTGTGTGTGGTTGTTTATCTACATGTCAGCCCTGTGATAGACTGGCAGCCTGTCCAGGGTGGACCCTGCCTCTCACCCAATATCAGCTGGGATCGGCTCCAGCCCCCCCTCGACCCTGTTCAGGAATAAGCGGTGTAGATAATGGATGGATGGATGGATAAATTCACCTTTACATTAACACATATATTAAATAGAGCACTGACATGGTAGCCTAGAAAATGTGCTAATTATTATTAATAATATCAAATAAACCCCAAAGTGTGTCAAGTTCTACTTGTTGTGGATTCATCAAGTTAAGAAGTTAGTTAGTGCTATTAGTTGTAGGTATGTAAGAAGGAATACATTTGACCAGATTTGTATCACCCAGATTCCATCATTGTAGAATGATCAGTACTGTAATATACTGTATAGGTATGGCCTATTTTTAGGCATTAACCCTTTCAGTCGGTCCTTTATTCCCCACCACATTTGTTCTTGCTCTTTAATTACAGCAGCCACATTTTCCTTTTTACAGATTGTGCTTGTATTCCTCATAAGCCTCCATGAGTAGCTCTTGCTCAGTGGGTATGAAGTGTGCCGTACATGTCTTCTCAGTAAATCGGCATCAGTGAATGGGTGATCGACTTTGTGGTCTGTTGAAGAAAGCCATGAACGTGCATTCATCCAAATTACTTAAACCTGGCTTCACCAAACCACAACTCCTCAGCCTGGCTTAGCCATTGTAAAATGTGCAAACTAAACCAGGTGTTATCCTGGATTTTTTAAATTCTGCTTTTATGAAACAGCCCTCGGATATGAATTTATGTCTCTGTTGTCAATGGACTCGTAATACATCTCATTTTTGTATCACTTTTCAGTCGGCTGAGTGGATGTGGCAGCAGTGTGCACACCACATCACCAATGTCATCCAGTATGTGGTGGAGTTTGCCAAACGCATTGCTGGCTTCATGGACCTATGCCAGAATGATCAGATTATATTGCTGAAAGCAGGTCAGTGCACCGTCTAAAAATCCAGTCTCAAATACTTAAGTCACAGAGTTACTTCTTCCAGAGTAAACCGAGTTTGAAACTTGCTAACATTAGTTCCTCCCTGTTTTTTTTTTGTTTTGTTTTTTTTTGTCTCCACCCTTCCGCCTTTGTCTTTTTTACCATCTGTTTTATTTGTTTTAATAAAATACTAAAATACTCACACTTGGTCTGAACATTGGGGAGAACTGCATGATTCTGGAAACAAATTTTTTCCAATTATTTTCTCTATCTGCTTAACATAAAATGCATATATTGGATAACATGGTTACTTTCTGTAAATGTAAGTGTTTAGAAATTGGTTCCTGTCAATTTTATATGGTTCAAATATGTCTTATATATGGTGTGCATCCATCTGGGTCAAAATTATTTACCTTTTGCTGTGTGTTTTGTGCATGCTGGAGTATCTTGGGCCTTCTTTTTCTTCTCCTCCCCCTTCTTGTTCTTTGTCCATCTTTCCATCTCTTCATGCCTCTATTTATGGCTACCCTTTCAGGTTGCCTGGAGGTTTTGCTCATACGCATGTGCCGAGCATTCAACGTCAACAACAACACCATTTTCTTCAATGGAAAGTTTGCCTCGGCTCAGGTCTTCAAAGCACTTGGTGAGGACTGACAGTTTACAGATATACTGTAAGCAACTGAAACCTTCATTAACACCAGAGCCATTTTGCAGCTCACAAACACTATTAAATACAATAATCTCTTCTAAGGAAACATTCCCTAAGTTGTCACATTTTTTTAAAAATTGACTTTTGTCCATCACTTTTGTGTCCTGTGACTTCAGGCCAAAATGTCCAAGTATATAGAGCAACTTTAATGTTAAGACCAGTGTGTTTCAGCTTGCAGCCTTTGTCAGGGTCTGTTAAGATCACGTAACAAAGAGTCATTTAAGTAAAGCAGATTTAGAAACAATATTAAAAACAACCAATCACATACAAACACATGCATGTCAGTCAGTAAAGAACATGCACGTAAGTGGGTCGGGTACAGTATATGGTCATGTGGTTATATGCCAGTCACATTCTCAAACTGGTAAAGAGGCAAACGGTGTCTGTTAATTGACACAGGTGACACATAACTTGACAAACATACAGGAAAATACACACTTTAGGTGGAACCACAGCTCGTCTAGTAAGTCTTCAGCACTTTAGATGTGTTTAGTCTCAAACCAATTCACAAAGCATCACAGGCAAAAAACAAATCATAATAAAAACAACCTGGCAAAATTGGAACCACAACATAGTACATGAAACAAAAAAGAAGAGAGCAAAAAATATACATTTAAAATACAATAAAATATAATATAGAGTAAAAAGAGGAAAACAAGGGGGTGCACAATTGGAGCCCATAAGTATAAAAATCTAGCCCCACCATAAAAACTCATTAATAATCCTTGTTATAACTCCTGGAAATAAACACTTAAAATCATAAATCCAAATCACTTTGCTTCTCTTCCTTAAAAGATTAATATTACTACCTCTTACTCTACGCATGATCACCTCTATGCCAGTGAAGAAACATGACAACATGGGGTGTTTTAGCCCATTAAAATGTCTCGCAGCAGGGTTGGCAACATCGCTTCTCTTAATAGCGCTCCTGTGATTCATGATACGCTGAGAGGTCAGACAGGCTGTAATGGCAGTAAGAAAATCTGGTAATGAAGGAATTTTCACAGTAGGCAGAAACACAGTTTTCTCAGTTAAGAAATGTTGGCCATAGTCGATCTTTTCACACATCAATCCTCTCAGGTGTCTCGGCTGCTTGATGTCTTTAAGTTTGTATTTTTGACAATTAATTGAAAGATTTCCTGTGTTTGTGCAGGTTGCGATGACCTGGTCAGTGCAGTGTTTGACCTTGGAAAAGGACTCTGCCGTCTACAGCTGTCCGATGAGGAGATGGCTCTGTTTAGTGCTGCTGTCCTTCTATCCCCCAGTGATTATTCTTCCTTCATTTCTCTTTCTCGCTAAAAGTATTTGTTAACACAAACATGCTCAAGAAGATGTGCACATTAAATAGCAAAATCATAGTGGTCTATTCACTGTTATTCTGTCACAGGTAAAAAAAAAAAAAAAAAGTCACACTGACATTCAAGAACAATTGTAGGATGTTCATTTTCAACACATGCATTCGACAGATCATATATTTTGCTGTAGATGTCTCATACATGCAAGCTTTCAGTTTATTACTGCAAATTATTATGCTACGATTTGGCATTATTAAACTGGTCATTTTTCTTCTTGTGCCTACATAACAACCTTCAACTAAAATTTCTGGAATGACCGTTTTTAGAGTGACAAAGAAAGGTACATGATGTCATCACTTAAATGAGAAGCAGCCTGCCAGTAATGTTATGCATAATCATGATTGTTTTCTGCCATAATCATGCAGCCCTAGTGAGAGCTGTATATTAATGGGCTGTAGTATGTCCTTTCTTGCAGATCGGCCCTGGCTAAAAGAAGGCCAAAAGGTTCAGAAACTCCAAGAGAAGGTCTACCTGGCATTGCAGCACAGCCTACAAAAGAGCGGTGCTTGTGATGAGAAGCTAGACAAGGTGAAGGCGAGCAGTCACAACTTTTCTTAAACATGTACAGTTGTGTGCATACTCATAGACATTTACCTCCATATCTCATCCATCCCCACAGATGGTGTCCAAGCTGCCAGTAATGAAGTCTATCTGTAACCTCCACGTTGATAAACTGGAGTTTTTCCGTTTGGTCCACCCTGAGACCGCCTACAGTTTCCCACCACTGTATCGGGAAGTGTTTTGCAGTGAGATGTCTCTACCAGACTCTACCGACAGCTAGACAGACAGACAGACAAGAACAAGAAAGATGGAGAGTGTATTAAGAGGTAGGGAAGCAGAAGGAGAGGCAGAGAAGGACAGAGATGTTGAAGCTCAACAACCAGCAGTTAAAAGACAATCCTTTAAATACTCCTTCTCCCATGATCTCAAAGTAGTCCTCCATTTTCCCAGCAGGCAAAGCACCTTACACTACAGACCACACATGCTCATGGTCCTCTGCATATTGTAGCATTAATGACAAAGCGGATGAGCATGGAAATGATAACACAGCAGCCCACTTAGCATGTAACAAGCTGTAACACTTGTTTAACATCAGATCTGCTGTTATGAACCAGTGATGAATGTACTTCATGGATATGCACCAGTGCACAAGCCAGAACCCAACAACAGTGAATGTACAACCCTGCCAGTCTAAAACGGGAGTTTTACAGATAGTATTAGAAGTCACATTGATCAAGAGGTCTCACTATAATACAGCTCTCAGTAAATATTTATCTTTATATTAATACATCTCAGTATGGTACACATGCGTATTCATACACACAATAACCTCTTACTGACTTTCACTTAGGGACCAAGTCATTTTCTGTGATTTAAAAAGAACAGTCATGACTTAGGCTGTTGTCCTTCATTAGCTACGAACCAGTTTAACACATATGTAGACTGTGTTTGGTGCTGCCTTTTTGTAGGCTCTTGTAATGCAATGAAAAACCTCAGTCCCTCACACCCTTTTTCCTTGTAAATGCCACTTAGAGACAAGACAAGATGAAATTATCTTTAATTTATACACATTTATAAACAAATATTTTAAATAAGAATGTAAATAGATGACTATATAATAGTCGTAATAGAGATATAATAGAGTATATGGAGAGAGTTAGAATGTGTGCGTTCAGTTCAGAGAGAAAGGGAGAGAAAAGTGGATAGTAAGATGCAGAGCAGGAAAAAAGATGGATATAAGGAAAGCTGATATTTGGACTCAGATTTTTTTCCCCCTTTTGACAGTACTCTCAGGTTCCCGTGGCAACAACCCTATTTTGCAGCAAACCCAGGGTTAGTATTCAAGCAAATGATGGGATGGACATTTGTTGTGGATGAAACACAGCAGGGGCAATGATACCCAAACTCAAGCGAAAAAACATTGCAGTTGTCTTTATAAAGGAGCTCACACTCAGTGCTGTGGCTGCAACCCCACCCTGCCTAAAAAGACAAAAGGACACTAAAGAAAAGGGAAAGCAAGGCAAAAAATGACCATGTATAATAAAAGTGGATGCACAGGGTCTCCCTGCCTGTTTCTAATCAGCAGTCAGACAGGAGTAGATGTAGTATAATGATCTTTCACTCATCATGTTTCAGTCTGGTAAAGGTCAAGATGACAGTGGTCCATAATATGTAACATAAACCCTCCTTGCTGTTGCTGGTTGGAGCAACTGTATTACGTTGTACATTTGCTGTTCCTCTGTACTTCAGTCTCAAATCTCACCATTTGTTCGAATAAGCACTTGTATTTCCTCTTTCTCACTGGACACTAGTCTAAGGCCAGACAGAGCTACCAGCTGCCCCCTGAGTTGGGCTTCAGTGCCAGTAAGACTTATTAATTGTCAGTCAATCTCTTTTATTATTGTTTGCATTTCACTCTATATATGTTATACAAAGTCACCCCTAACCGTTTACATTTTTCATGTACGTAACACACTTTCTGAAGGCTGTAATGGCACTGAGATGATGATGATGGTCATAATGTCTTACTTGGGGTGCTGTGAAGTTCTTGAGCAGAGACCTGCTGTGTGCGACTCAGGGAGCTAGCTGTGATCTCTTGTCCCTTTATTACCAGTGTCTTTTAGCCTTGTGCTCCTCACTCCTTTGCACCTAAGATGAGACCCATAACCATGATCACTGTGGATGTCAGTTCTATTTTTGTGAATGTTACTCACAATGTGTCAAAACCCTTCCCGTCTGTCCTAATATTGTAACGTTAAATTTACAAGACATAGGATTTTAAAAACAATAAATAAATAATTTAGTTAAAAATAAGTTTCATTATTGGGGTTTAATGTTTCTTTGCTGTGCTCTTCATTTATTTGTCAGTCTTTTATCCACTTTTTTCTTTACTTGTCTCCACTTTTGTCTTGTAAAGTCAGTGATCTTTTTTTTTTATTAAGGAAAGATTAGGAGAAGT